GAGGGCGCGGCGACACAGCGCAGTAACCGAGACCCGGTGTGTGCCCGCGTGCCATGCGCGTCTGGGGACCCGATCGTGAAGCCAGTGCTGAAGTGGTCTCATATGGAGCAACCCGAGCGGCGTGACGGCGGCTGCGGATGCCATATGCCCCAGGAGCCTCTGAAAGAACTTCAGTGGGACCACTAGTTTGCTGTCGAGCTCCCTCAGACAGTTCAGCAACAGGCGAGCGCGTTCCTCGGAGAGGTGCGCTACCATGGTGATCGAGTCCAGCTCCATCCCGAGAAAAGAAATCCTCTGCACGGGGGCGAGTTTGCTCTTTTCTCGGTTGACCTGAAGCCCCAGTAGGCGGAGATGCCGAAGCACCTTGTCCCTGTGCATAATCAATTGCTCCCGCGAGTGGGCTAAAATCAGCCAGTCGTTGAGATAATTGAGTATGCGAATGCCCGCGAGCCGAAGGGGCGCTAGGGCACCCTCCGCGAGTTTGGTGAAGACCCGCGGAGACAGAGAGAGCCCGAAGGGGAGGACCTTGTACTGCCACGCTCGACCCTCGAACGCAAACCGCAGAAATTGGCGGTGGCGTGGAAGAATGGAGACATGGAAATACGCGTCCTTCAGGTCTATGGCTGCAAACCAATCCTGAGGACGAACGCATTGGAGAATGCGCCTCTGCGTGAGCATTCTGAACGGCAGCCTGTGCTGACAGAGGTTCAAAACGCGCAGATCTAGGATTGGCCGTGACCCACCGCTCTTTTTGGGTACGATGAAGTATGGGCTGTAAAACCCATTCTCCATCTCTGCTGGAGGAACCGGCTCGATTGCACCCTTCACCAGGAGGGCAGCAATCTCCTCTCGCAAGACAGGGGCGGACAGGGGGTTGACCCTGGAGAAATACACGCCCGTAAACTTGGGGGGCCGTTTCGCGAACTGAATCGCGTAACCGAGTCTGATTGTGCGTATGAGCCACCGCGAGGGGCTGGCCCGCGCTAACCAGGCAGGCAGAGCCCTCGCTAATGGAGTCATCGCTACAATCGCTGATGTACCAGCGGTGGGGCAGCGCGGAGTGGGTGTGCTGATCCGGGAAGCACGAGGGTCCCGCGGAAGTGCTGGAGGAGAGCGATTCGCTCTGGCTCCGCACCCTAACTCCGGAGAGGGGGCTGGAGGGCTGAGGGAAGGGAGACCGTCCCCCCAGCGCTCGTGAGCCACTGGCGAAGCACGTAGAGTCTGCGAGCCGGAAGGCAGCGCGTCCCGGACTGGCAGAATTCGTGCAGTCAATCCGGGGAAGGGAAAAAGTGCTCTTTTACTGATGTTTTGGTGGCACTGAAAAGTACCGTTGTTATCGGGGCCCCGCCCTCCAGCGGGGAAAGAGCAAGTTTCCTCTTCTCCGGATGGCCTGTCTCAGGGACGCTTCGCGGTCCGTTTACCGGACTTAACGGCGCCCTGGGCAGGAGGGGCTGCCTGCTTTCGAGGTGTACGCCGCGCCCGCTTGGCCGGAGGCGCAGGCGGGGGCGGGGCAGCACTCGTTGGCGGGCGCCCTCGGCGAGGAACAGCGGAGGTGGATGGCTCGGCGGGCGGAGCGGGCTTACGGCCACGCCGATAGATGACATTGCCCATCGCATCCGACTGCTCTTTCACCGCCTTGAATTCCTGGGTGAATTCACCGACGGTGTCACCGAACAGGCCAGCCTGGGATATGGGCGAGTCAAAAAGCGAACTTCGTCAACATCGCGCATATCGGCCAGGTTTAACCAGAGGTGGCGTTCCTGAACCACAAGTGTGGACATCGTCCTCCCCAGCGCACACGCGGCGGACTTAGTAGTCCAAAGAGCATAGTCGGTCGCGGTGCGCAGCTCATGTAATAAGCTTGGGTTGGACCCGCCCTCGTGCAGCTCGGCCAGCGCCTGCGCTTGGTAGCGCTGGTAGGTGGCCATCGCGTGCAAAGCAGAAGCAGCCTGGCCCGCAGCCTTATAAGCTCTGGCTCCGAGGGAGGCAGACAACCTACAGGCTTTGGACGGGAGGCGGGGCAAACCCCGCCACGTAGAGGCGCCGCGCAGACAAAGATTGACCGCGATAGCGCGCTCCACTGACGGGATCGCCTCATACCCCCTGGCAGCTCCGCCGTCAAGGGCGGTGAGGGCGGAGGCACACGCAGCACGGGCAGAGAAAGGTGCCCTCCAAGACTGCGTGAGCCTACTGTGCACTTCCGGGAAGAAGGGGACGAGAGGCTTCGAAGGCTTCACCTTCTGGTCCTCTACGTAGCACCCATCTAGTCGGTCCGGCCGCGGAGCTGGGGGATAAACCATCTCCAACCCCACGGCTGAAGCAGCCCGGGAAAGCACGGCTAACATGTCCGCTTCAGGATCCGATTTGACAGCGCTCACCTGCCCGGAGGGGGCGAGCGGGTCCGGATCTTCGTCGGACAGTGAAAGCCCACCCTCCGATGCCGCGGAGGACATCTGATCTCCGGTGTCAGCGAGTGTGAGAGCTACCATCTGGTTAGACGGATCACTCCCACTACCCGAAGCTTGGATGGAGCGCCGTGAGGAGCGAGAGGTCCGCGAGCGCGTGGGCGGCGGATTATCTCCCGCTGAAACCCTCAGATCTGCCCGAGCGCCCGCTGCTTTTTTAGAACAGGAGGCAACTGGGGTGGCTCGCTCTCTTGCGAAAGTTAGCCGCGATCTTAGCTGTGCAACGGTCATAGCATCGCAATGACGACATGAACCGCCCGCGAGCACCGCATTAACATGCTGGACCCCCAAACATGCAATGCAGTGATCGTGTCCATCATCCGGAGCCAGGAAACCCCCGCATCCAGAAACGCACAGTCGGAGCGCCATCCTGAAAAGGACGTGCTGCACGACTGTGTTGCTCTTTTAGGAAAGTTTGCAACAATACGCACCGCTCTGGAGGACCGGACCCAAAAAACCGCAGGCAAGGGAGAAACCCAGCTCGACCGTCTGCCACCGCGAAGACCCACTCTGGACCGGGAGACACACTCGTTCGCTCTGAAGTGCTGATCAGCAAGAGGAACCCTCATCGACTCACTCAGAAAGGATCTGAAGCGAAAAGGATGGCGTCTGCTGGCTTCAGGTGTGCTTATATGCTGAGATAATTGCAGATGCCGCACACCTGCGCAAGCTTACGCTGCCAATTAATTTCATTCATTGGCCCGTTCAATACTCTCCAGACAAGCGGCTTCTGATCCGAATCCTCCCATTTCATGGCACTGAAGTTCCCCAACCGAAGGGGAACCAGAGTTTTTTTACTCTAGTCATCTTCGTCTTCAAAAATAATAATAATAATAAATTTTATTTAAAGGCGCCTTATTGGCAATTCAAGGACACCATACAATAAAGGAGGGCAATAAAACAACAAGAAAAATAATAAAATATACACAGCAATAGTGCAGATAAAATTAATTAAGTATTAAAAGCCATCTTAAATAAATGGGTTTTATGTCTTGATTTGAATAGTGTGAGGGAGTCAGTGTTTCTGATGGCAGGTGGTAGTGAGTTCCAAAGCCGCGGAGCAGAGCGGCTAAATGCTCTGTTGCCCATGGACAGACAAGTGGAGGGAGGAAAAAGATTGCAGGGTGCAAGAAGAAACAGTAATGTGGATGAGGGCAGACAAATATGGAGGGGTGAGACAGTTGGTTCGGCCCCTCAGCAAGCTGGTCTGCATTTCTGTGAGGAGTTTGCATGTTCTCCCTGTATTCGCATGGTTTTTCCCCGGGGTTTACTGGTTTCCTCCCACTGTCCAAACATGTTCCAAAATGACATAATTGTTCAAAACACTAACACATGTTCTCTTTCAACAGAAACATTCAGTCAATCAGAAAACACTGACAATAAAAACACTATCATCAGCTAAAATTACAGAAACTGCATTAGTTTATGTGTCAGCTCTGTCCTTATATTTTAAGACTCTCTACATTTTCATTTTGTTTTCTGGCATTTTCTTTCTTTTACTGCAAAAATTCAATACAAAAATAAAGAAATAAAATGCTTTATAAAATTTACAGTTGATGTAAAAAAATACAGACACAGAATTTTTTAGATTTGCAAAAGGACATCACTGCAAGATATACAAACAGAAAAAGCATTGCAATTATAATAAAAAAACAAAGTAATTTTCTATTCTGCCTGGTCTTCTGCATTTTCCCGACTTCTTCTCTGGCCCGGCATGGTAACGATGGCCCTTTGGCCTATTATGTTTCTCCTACGGCAATGCCTTTTCGCCAAGTTGAAGCCAGTCTCGTCACCATAGATCATTTCATGTGGGACTTGATTGACCTCCAACTTCATGACTCTCTAAAAGTAATTAGACACAGTGTAAATGGTTCACTGAACTATAGCTAATGTATGTACTAATGAATGCCAGGTTTATAGAGTCGTTTACTGCAAAACACACTGTGCATAAAGTAATCACTGTATTGCATAACCTTATCTGGACGTATTAGTGACGGAGTTCTGCAATGTGCTCACTGTTCCTCAAAAACCTCATGAGTCCTTTTTTAGAACATACAGTATGATCACGTGATTTGAAAAATCTCAACACATGAGTGTGCTTTCTAGATGAGAATCATGTTCATATGGGAGATGGGAGCTGCCATACACACACACACACACACACACACACACACACACATACATACATATATACAGGGAATATATTTGTGTTTCAATTGACAGTATGAACAGCTGTTCACTTCGGCTTTAGCCTATATAGGTTCTGTTTAAAACATGATGTTATCTGTTCTGACATACTGTGTGAAAGCATTGGTAAATTGGGCTGTAAAATTACTTTGTTTTGGTTTTGGTTGAGTTTGTTTGTAAAAGAAGTTCAAGCATTTTAAATTTGTGTTAACTGGATGCATTTTGTGTCAAAGCAACAAGAAATGTGTAAATTGTATAGCCCACGAAGACGGATGTTGTGCTAACCATGTTAAGAGTTTAGGAAACTTGTTAAATGTATTGAAAAAAGTGCCATAGCAATTGTAAAAAAACTGTAATCAAGGCTTATGTGTTTTGTGTTGCAGCATCCTTGGTGCAAGCTGGAGAAACTGAAGAGGTGATCCCCAAACAGCTTCATGAGGAGGAGACAGAGAGGCTCAAAGTAGAAATACAACAGTGCAAAGAATTCATTCAGACTCAACAGCAACTTCTGCAAGTGAGTAGAGGCATGATTTCACCCGCAAGTCCACTCAGAGCAAGAGAATGAGAAGTTTATGTTTACAGCAACAGCTCAACACCCCATGTGATGAGGAGACAGCAGCAGTCCTGAATGATTCCTACATGCTGGAAGAGAAGGAGCGCTTGAAAGAGGAATGGAAAGTGTTTGGAGAACAGAGGAAAAACTTTGAAATGGAAAGGAGAAATTTCACGGAAGCCGCCATCAGATTGAGCCATGAGGTTCTGCCTTACAATTGTTTCTTTTTGTAGACGTTTCTTGATCTTGGTTCTTAACCATGCTTTTCTTTTCTTTCAGAGGAAATCTTTTGAGGACGATCGCGCATTGTGGCTCAAACATCAGTTTCTGAACACAACATTTGCAGACCAGATGAAACCACAAAGTCGCATGTCTGATGAATTTTCAAAGCGTAAGTGATCATTCATTCTTGTTGAATTTTTTGATAAAATAAACTTCAGTTTTGTTTTTTAATGTTGCAGACTCTGGTCATGAGGAGAAACTTATCTCAATTTCTGGTAAAGTCAGCAAATCCCATCTTTAGTCTGTCCACTCATGGAACTGCTTACAGATGAACTTATATTCTTCCACCTGGAGTCAATATAAACGAGTGTCCACAAGTAAGAATGTCCAACATGCGCACATGTATGTTAAGCAAAATAGTGTCAATTTGTGATAAGTCTGGCTGCTAAATCTTAAGCCTTCAGATTTTTTAATGTTTTATAAACCATGCTGGCATTTTCTAACATTTTGCATTATTTTCATTTAGAAATTACATAGAGATATTCATATGTTTGTTTTTGCACAAAGAATTGAACTGTTGTATTGGTGTAGCTTGTTATGGTTTACTTTTAGCTATTTACATATTATGCATCACTTTCAAAAGTTACACTTTTTTATTTATTAACATAATTTTTGTCACTGAAAGAAATGTCTAGTCCCTTCATTCTGAACTGTAAGAAATAATGCATTTTATTTATTGTGCATTTGGATCTTTTAGACTTTTCCTAATCAGTATTACCACCATTATAGTTTATATCAAGTTTAAACCAAGTTAATATGGTGCATATGAAAAATATTAAGAATTATATACTAAAATAGATTGACACCAATATGCATTTTAGATTGAAAACAACTGAGTGTGCTTTATTCATTTAAAATGGCAAATATGAAAAAAATGGAATAACACTTTAATAAGAAAGTTTGCAAATGTTTTCTTTTATATGCATATTCATTAAAATAAACCAACAAGTGTAGTTACTGTATGAATTTATTCTTGTGGAGATGATAGCATCATGCTGTTCTTACATTGCAATGGCCAAAATTTAATTCAATACTTAAATGAATAATATAACTATTATGTGTTTTTATTTATTTATTATCTGACACACAGTTGAAGTCACAATTATTATCCCCCCTGACTTATTAGCCCCCATTTATTTTTTTCTCAATTCCTGTTTAACAGAGAGATTTTTTCCAACACATTTCTAAACATAATAGTTTCAATAACTCATTTCTAATAAAAGATTTATTTTATTTTTGCCATGATGGAGTAAATAATATTTTACTAGATATTTTTCAAGACACTTTAATACAGCTAATTGTGACATTTAAAGGCTTAACTAGGTTATCGATTAACTAGGCAGGTTAGGGTAATTAGGCAAGTTATTGTATAATGATGGTTTGTTCTGTAGACTATCAAAAATATATATAGCTTAAAGGGGCTAATAAAAAATTAAAAACTGCTTTTATTCTAGCCGAAATAAAAAAAAACAAATAAAATTTTCTCCAAAAGAAAAAATATTATCAGACATAACTGTGAAAAATTCCTTGCTCTGGTAAACATAATTTGGGAAATATAAAAAAAAAAAAAAAATCAAAATAATTCTGACTTCAACTGTGTGTGTGTGTGTGTATATATATATATATATATATATATATATATATATATATATATATATATATATATATATATATATATATATATATATATATATATATATATTCCGACATACTGTGAAAATTTTCTTTCTCTGTTAAACACCATTTGGAAAACATTTAAAAAAGAATAAAAAACTTTGAAAGGGGCTAATAATTCTGACTTCAACTGAATTGAATATTTCAGTTGATAAAAACAATGAATTTTGGAATTGATCTACATGTACTGTTTTTTTTTTTTTTTTTTACTTTACAACGCCTTTGCAATGATAATTTTGCCGTTTAAGTCACTACTGGAAAAAAAATTCAAAAAAAAAAAATCTTTTATTTAAGGTTAAGAAATGATACACATGAAATTCTTTTTTTTTTTTTTTTTTTTTTTTTTACTCAGACAAGCAAAAAAGCTGCTATTTATAAGAACATGTAGCTAATTATAGACATAAAGTAGACATAAATATCTTTATAATAAAAAACAGTAACCCTTTACAATGAGATATCATTAGTTAATGTTTTTGTACAGTTAATGTCAGAATTATTAAAAGATATATATAAAAAATCATATAAAATTATATAAAAAATTAGCTTAAAGGGGCTAATAATTTTGACATTAAATGTTTTTAAAAAAAAATTAAAAACAACTTTTATTCTAGC